CTCTGCGTTGGTGAGGCCACACCTCGAGTATTGTGTTCAGTTCTGGGCCCCTCAGTTCAGAAAGGATATTGAGGTGCTGGAGCGGGTCCAGAGAAGAGCAACAAGGCTGGTGAAGGGACTGGAGCATAAGTCCTATGGGGAGAGGCTGAGGGAGATGGGGTTGTTTAGCCTGGAGAAGAGGAGGCTCAGAGGTGACCTCATCACCGTCTATAACTACCTGAAGGGAAGTTCTAGCCAGGTGGGGGTTGCTCTCTTCTCTCAGGCACTCAGCAATAGGACAAGGGGGCACGGGCTTAAGCTCCGCCAGGGGAAGTTTAAGTTGGATATCAGGAGAAAATTCTTTACAGAGAGAGTAATCAGGCATTGGAATGGGCTGCCCAGAGAAGTGGTGGATTCACCATCCCTGGAGATTTTTAAACGCAGATTGGACGTGGCACTGAGTGCCATGATCTAGTAAATGGACTGGATTTGGACCAAGGGTTGGACTCGATGATCTCGGAGGTCTTTTCCAACCCAGTCGATTCTATGATTCTATGATTCTATGATTCTATGATTCTATGATTCTATGATTCTATGAATATAAGCAGTCCTGCTGGAGTAGTACTGAGCTGGAGCTGGGCCACAGAAAGCTACGCTTCTGTCTTGTCTGAGCTTAACTGACGCACAGTACATTTTCTAGGACTGAGATTTTTAGACAGCAAGGGAAAAATCGGTTTCTGTATTCTTGAAGTATTGCTGTAGATGGATGCGGGCTTGGGCCTTTTCCTGCACCCCAACATAAAACACATGTAGAGCTGGGCATGCAAACACTCCAACCTGCATGAGCAAATCAGCCACGTTTGTTCTCCTGAACATTTCCCTGATGGGTGATGTGGATTCATAGATGTGCCCCTGATACAAACCTAACTGGAGTCCTTCAGAGCCTTTGAATGAGACCCAAATCCTCACTCTGTCCATATTCACATGGCCCAAGGCTGCCAGGATGGTGCCTGAAGCATCCTTAGGATGGGGATGAGGATTAGTTTTGGTTTTGTTTTTCTGTGCAGGGGTTTGCTGTCTTGTGCTGAGTGGTTCTGTGCTGAACTTCGAGGTCAAATCTTGTAACTGACGTTATGTTGTTGTTTTGTTGTTGGTTTTTTAAAGACAAAGGAAAAATTCCTGCTTTTAAAACAGCATTGTACTTTATTTTCATCCATTACTCAGAACAGGTTTAGGTTGTCCTATTCAGCAATTTCCACTGGTGTTGCACACCTCCAAACCTCCTTCATGCCCTGATGTTTGTTGGTTTTGTTTTTTTTTTTTAAACTCTCTATTTTTTTTTGTTATTTGGAACATGCTCTCTGTGTGCATCTGAAGATCTGAAAAAAGGACAAAGTTGTTTCCTAGTATGGGAGTTTCTTCCTTCTCCAGTCCTTGTTGAGAGGAAGTGGCAAACCCTGAGGGGAAAACATTCTCCCCCAAAGCAGTTGTTACGTTTCTCTCAGACATTTATAACTTTAAATTTTCCTTTTTATTTCTGTAGAGTTGCTGGTCTAAAATTTTTATTCTGTCACTGTGGGTACTGTAACACCACTGCTTCTGGGGAATTTTGGTGCTGAAGATAGGGGGCTAGGGAACACAGGAAAAATTGTTATTCGTAAGGCTAACTTCTTTCTTGCTGAAAAAGTCTTGCCATCTTACCATTTCTGTATCTTTTCCTTTTGAAGAGCTCCATCTCCCTGGGCAGCTACTTTCTTTGGCAGGCATTCTTATCAGAAACCAAGTAATCCAGAAAATAGCCAAAGGATGATGGCTTTCCCCTCTAAATCCTTCCTCTTTTCCTGAAGTACAGCTTCTTTTCTTCTTGGTTGAGTGAGTGAAGACTGTGAGAGGAAGTAGGTACGAATGAGATATGAAGTTCCTCTGTTTTTTTCTAGTGTTTTATTTTTTTGGGAAAGAACTCCCAAAGTCCCCAGAAAGAAGAGAATGGAACAGGGGAGTTACATAGGAAGGGAAAAAAGGAATTGTTTGGAGATGACTGCCCCACCCTATGTTTGGGAATGAGATGCCAGTTGGGTAATTTTCTTTGGCTGAACTTCCTCATTTCAGAGGTAGGAAGGAATTCTTCCTCTCCCTCACAGTTGCCTTAAAAACTGCATACATGAATACAAGTTTAGAATAATTTTTTTTTTTAAATTTCTTTTTGAGTCCTGAAATTCCTAAGGTTGTGTGAGCAGTGAAGTGTTTCCTTAAAGCAAAGAAAAAAACCACAAAATAAACAAGAGAGGAGCTCAAGTACTCAAGCAGAGCTGTGATGATGTTAACAGAGAGGCTGTGAAGAAGCACACCAGGGAGGGCATAGAGGATTTGGATTGCATATCCTACAGCAGAGCGAGTAGATCTCTGTTAGCTATACATTGATTGGCACAGGAATGCAATTAGACACCAAAAAAGGCAAAATGCTGTGCTTGTAAATGCAGAGTTTTCTGTCCAGAGGTGCGTCTTTGAAAAATCCCTGGCTTGTTCAAACTTTGATCTCATTGATCAGACGTTAGCACCAGGTAATTAAATGATAAAATAGAAAGAGAGAGTCCAATAAAAGCTCCTTTTTTTCCTTAATGATGATGAACTTAACATTCTTGGTATCTGTTTTCAGGCAGAAGAATTACATTTGGTATCTAGTCAATAGTGCATTTGCTTATTAATAGAGCAAATGATTTAAAATTAAACAAATGACCACTCAGATATTTATGAGTAGACATGAAAATGCCTGTAGTTCTAATATGGTGCTCAATTTCTTTTAAAAAGTAAAGTAACTTTCTCCTACTCTGTAATGGTTCCTGGCAGATTGTACTTTACTAGAAGAAGGAATGGCAAAGGAAGTAAAATAGTCCAAGTCCCATCCCCTTTATGCATTACCTGCTTGGTCTGGCACAAAATGCCTTTTTTTTTTTTTTTTCTTGTACTACACCACCATCTGTGTACTGGGGAGAAAAAACTGATTTTTAGTCTCAGGAAAGGATTTGTAGCCAAACCCATTAGTTCTTCTAGGTGTGGGATTCAGCTGAAAAAAACCTTCTCTGGCTTTTGGGAATGCTGAACTGAAGGGAGTTAAAAAAGGTAAATACCATTCACTCAGAGACCGAGCTAAGATTTAGGGAGTTAATGTGCATCTGATGGCAAGATGAGAGGGGAGGGGGCCCAAGGTGCCTGGCAGTGGTGCCAGGGCATACAAAGCTCTTTACAGTTTTGAAAACATTGAACCTCTTTTGCTGTTGATAGGTGCTCAGAGCAGTGCTGTATCATCCCTGTTTCACTGGTGTTGGGAGATTTGCTGGAAACAAACACTCAGAAAGCACTCAGGAGTGTCCTGTGCAGTGGAGGTGGGAGTGCGAGGCAGTAGAGGTAATACAGGGAAGTTAAGTGAAAAGCTTTTTAGGTGGACATGCAGGCTGAACAGACCTCTGACACAAAGTGTGATTCTGTTAAAGGATATAATGCCATGGGAGCTGGGTCATACCAAGAAGCCTGATTCCCTTTTATACCCTTCCTGTGTTGTGCCCTGATTCCCTTTGCTACCTCTGCTCTGACCTTTAGAAGCCCCAGGATGGGCTTTCCCCTCCTGCAGACTGACTTTCAACGAGTGCCATGGAAGGAGTTAAGGATGCAAGCTCAGCCTGAAGCTCAGTTTCCTGGCTTATGTTGGTTGTTGCCAAAATCTTAATGTTGTTTTAATGCATTTTTGTGTTCGTGAATCCATTTTCCAGAGCTGCCGATTGCACACACTGACCCTTTTTATGTGACTAAAAGCCAGCTGTAGTATCCTTGAAGAATCAAATGCTCTCATAGTTCTGGAAATTGCTCTGGGTGTGCATGCATGTTTATTTGTGCGTCAGCTCTTTTAATCTTTCTACTGAAAACCTAATATACTGTAACTGGGACATTTTCAAAAAAAGAGAACACTTCAAAACAATTCTAAATATAAATTAAATCCATTTCCAAATGGCTTGTTAAAAAATGCAGATGGTTTATATTTATTATATAATTTTTTTGTTTTATCACCTTGCAAAATTTTACAGCATAGAATCTTATTTAATGTGGGGGCATTTTAAGCAGCAATATTAGACAGCTGTATGTGCGTCATACTCAGAGATTTTTACAGGATATTAAAGTTGGTTCTGATGTAACCTGGTGTTTTGAGCAGCGTAGATTAGGCATTTTCCAAGTTTGTAATTCTTTTTTTCTAAGTAGGTGCCTTTTTTTTTTTCCTTCTCTCTCCTTCCCCAAATATACTTTTAGTGCTTGATTCCAATTGTCCTCAAGGTGTAAGGAAATTCAGGCCAGACTGATTGAGAAACTGCTCTCTGAGACTATGTGAATAACAAAGCGTGGCCCAGATATTATCTCAGCCGAAATTAGGGATAATTATACTCTATAGCAAATTATATACATAGTTAAAATAAATAACAAAGCACAATGTTCATATTCTGGTGATTAATTTTTTTCCCCCAAGTTCTGTTTGACTTTACAATTTTTCCATTGCAATCAACATGAGAATATTGCTGGGGTAGCAGCAGCACCTGAATAAGTGCCAGCCCAATTTTTTTTCTTTTTTTTTTTTTTTCCTCTCAGCCTCCAACAGGCACAAGCAGGTTTAATGTTAACCCAACTAAACTCCAGCTCCTCTGCTGGTTCTCACACCCTCCAGGTCAGAGCTAAATCCCCTATTAATTAAACAGAAATTATATCTGAAATAAATCACTTGGTGCAAGAAATCCACGGTGGAATTTTTTGAAAGATGTTTGCAATAATTAAACATTCTGTGACTGGTGACATTTTAAATAACTCTTAAAATACCAACCTGTGTTGATATTTAAAATAGGCTCTTCAGTGGAATGGCAGTGATCCCACTGAACAAATAATATAAACCACGTCATCGTATAAGAAGGGAAAAAAAAAATCATCCAACAGCAAAAAAACCCCAGCTCTGGTCCCATCTGTTTTCATACGGCAAGAGTCTTGAAAGTGCTTGGAAGATACAGGTTGGGGATAATTCTGGAGATCCTTGTGAAGTAAGAGCCGATAAACTTTCAATATCTGCTGACTCCATCCCAGGCTGTTGGAGGATGTGAGGTGGGTTTGCTGGATCACGGGTGTAGGAACAGAAGGGATCATGGATTTTGGCCGGTCTTTTAGGGTTTTGCTCTCTGCCTCCTCCTGCACTGCACCTTTCCTCCTGATCTGGCAATTTCAGGGGCATTTTGTGCAATCAAGCAGAGGCCCGGAGTATTTCGTCAGCGTCCCCAGGCAACGTGCCACTATGGCTGATGGGAACTTGCAGCAGTGTTGCTGCACGTTGCACAGGCTTGTTTCACCCTCTGCCCACTGGCTTTGGAAAAAATACAAACAAAATAACACCCCACCATCACCAAAAGAGCCCTGCCATAGTTCCCTTCTCCCAGAGTATGTGGGGGAAATGAATAGTGAGTCTTGCCCACATGCAAGGAGGAGAGGAGGTAGGGGACTGCTGGCGTAGAAGAAATTGTGTACCTTTATGGTGGTGGATCGTCTTTTTGGCCGGTTGGAACACCACAGTGCAATGCCTCTTGCAGGCTGGAGAGAGGGAGAGGTTTGAGTGTCTTGTGACAGCCAGGATGGGGGGCAGTGTAGGCAAATTGGGTTTTGCACTTCCCTCTTGTGCTGATGGCCTAAGTGACCCCAGCTAGAAGGAAGCAAAGGAGAGCAGCTCTACACTGTGTGACCTGAGAAGGCAGAGTTTGTCCAGAGCTGGGCAGACCTAGGGACCCCTCCAGGCCTGTCCTTCCTCTGCCCTAGTCTTTGTGAGCTCCTGCAGTGCTAGAGCAGGCAGAGTTGCCTTGAGGTTAAGGTGCAAAGCCATGATGGTGATGAGAAGCATCTTTGTGTGGGAAGTGCAGGCATCTCACATGGGTGTACTTCCATGCTTTCATTACAGGTGTAATGGGTTATGGAAATGGATTGTATCTATCCAGTGACTGAAGACTCTCTTACGCTGTAGCTGTGCTCCAATTCCTGCAAGATGTCTCGTGTCCATCCCCTTTCCCAAGCAAACTGTCACTGCTGCATGTTCTCTTAGCTCAGCTGCCTATTGCTCCCCATCTAGGTGGACCATTCCACTCACTTGTAGTCTTTTGTGTCCTAAAAAGGACACTGTGTGCTACCTAACCCAGTATTGACCTGCTTACCAAAGGAAATCTTGTTTGTCTTGATTTGGTCTTGGTTTTTTTTTTAAACTGCATTTTACATTCCACCTGGATTTTATAGCAGGCAATTTCAGTGAGAGGCACAGGGAACCAAGAGACTTGGCATGTCTTTACTTGAGGAAAAACTGTCCTTCCTACTGCTGCAGCAGTCTGGCTCTGTGTCTGGAGCTTCCTTGTTTTTTGCTGGAGCTTCTCTCCTGGCTGCTCACAGGGAGTGGAGCTCAGGAGGGTGCATGGCCAAGGAACATGGGCAGCGTGGTGCTCGTTTGGAACAGTCGGGTGGCAGCTCAGATGAGCGGCTTATACCTGCAGGTTGGATTTATGCGCATTTGGGAAACCACAGCTATTCTACTTCCACCAAACCCAGGTCTTTGCCAGTCTAATCCTGTTTTTCTCCTTGAAGGATTAGTTTCTAAGTTTGGGACAAATCTTTCTGGGGGAAGAAGAGGAGGAGTGTGCAAACACAACTCTCGTTTGGAACAAGAATTAAGAAGATAAAATGCGAGGAAGGTGCTGACTTGGACTGATCTAATCGCCATGCTGTAGTTCAGGGATGTGAGCCATGAAGCTGAGGCTGGACTGCAGAAACACTTGGACAGGTAAAATACAATAGTTCCTCTCTGTGCTGCTGAGTGAGTGTCCTCCTCCTGGTTTAAGGCCTAAAGGTCTGGCAGTCAGTGCCTGGTGACTGAGGTTACAATGATCCCCAGCCATGGCACCACTGCTCCAAGCCTCTTGAGCAGAGAGCTGGAGGGATGGGCTGGGAGAGTTTCCAGGCTCTGCCGGCCGGGCTGAGACCCAACTGTGATGCCCCTCCTGCCAGAGAAGCTGGGCTGGGGACACTCAGTCTCATGTGCCCATCAAGGTGATTTCTTGCCATTAATTATTGGTACTGGCAGATGTAAATTATTGCTTGTTCCAGTCGCTTGATGCTTTTAGGTGGGGGTGGAGAGCTGTACCCCGAGGGGCAGCGCCGTGGTTTATTACTCTTTGTTATTAATGATTCGTGAAGCACCGATTAGGCTGGCACTGTGAGCGCTACCAAAGGGTAGGTAGGAGACCTGCGGGGCGTGGGCGGCCACGGCACCTCCTCCCCTTCCGCGGCGGCAGAGCCGGGGCTCGAACCCTCAGTCCCCGGTGCCGCCGCTGCGGCGGGTGGACGGCAGAGGGCGCCGAGCCCCCAGACACGGCGGGGAGAGGGAGCCAAGGGCAATTCCCAAGGGCTTCCCGAGAACCACGGGCTGCCCTCCGGCCGTCAGAACCCCTAGGGACACCACCCCTCCCATTCTTGCCCCGTGTGCCCTTCCTTACTGGCATGGCACCAAAAAAAAAAAAAAAAAAAAAAAAAAAAAAAAAGAGAGAGAGAGGGAAGAAAAATTTAAAAAAAAAAACAAACAACAAACAAACCAACCGAATTTTAGCCAGACCAAACTGTTTTCCCCTGTGGAAGCGTCGCCCTGCTGTGAAGGGCAGCGTGGGGATCACTGCAGCGCGCGGCCGTGGGACCGCAGAGCTGGCTGCGTGGGCCGGGGCTGCACAAACCCAGCCTCGCTGACGCTCAACCCGAGCCCACGCAGGGAGCACTCACCATTATATATATTTGTTGGACCAGGTTTCTGGCACGTTGGGGTGCTTTAAACTTGAGCGGATTCATGTACAAATCAATTCAGAATTGGGAAACCATCACTTCCCTTATATATACGTCTCTCCTGCGTTACCAGTTTTCCAGCTGGGAAGGCTGGCAGGTAGACAGCTTCAGGGGTGGCTGCCAATGCTGATTCATGACCCAACCCACAAAGGATATTAATATGGTACCATAAGAACATTTTCCCCTCAAAGACAATGAATGTGTAATTTCTGTGATGCAAGTGGAGGTCAGTCTGATGCTGCTCTCCTGCCAGGAAGTTATACAATAAGTTTATAAGTATACTTGTTGGACAGAGCCAAAACCTCAGAATCCCTTTCAAAGCCAGTTTTTTACCCCATTTGGTTTACTGTGAGCCCCTGGGTTTTGGCCAGCTATAGACATAACATAAATTAATTTTATTCTGCAATTTTAGAAGGCACTGTAAGGTTTAAGAATATTTTTTCCAGTTGTCACGTTTCTAAATATGCTCTTTTTTTCTTGCCATATTCAATGCCAAAAAGCACAGCTTAGGAATGTAGTAGGAACATAGGAATTGCCACAACAGTCCATCTTGTCAGTCTCCTGTCTCTGTCGGCTGCTGGTGCCAGATGCAAATTCTTGAAGCAACTACGTAAAAGAAGTTCTCCTAAAATAAAAAATACTGAGGTGTGGCAGGAGGGAAGAAAAATAAGAGTTGCAGGAGGGAGTGAGCAGAAAGACTTTCAAATTATTTATTTATTTATTTATTTATTTATTTATCTATTTATTTATTTATTCCAACTCCCTACGGATTTGTTTTACAGAACTTTAGGCTGATTTATCGTTTTACCTTCTCTTGCTGAGTAGCCCTCAACTGTGCCACACATGGGAGGCAGGAAAAAAAGAGAAGGGAGCTTCTTACTTTTTGTTTCAGGAGAAGGGAGCTTACTTTTTGTATCAGGAGGGGACGTAAAAGGCTTTAAAAGATGACAACAATTTGTCAAAGAAAGATCATGGGAAGATGGAGCAGATCATTTAACAGAGGCGACAGCCAGGATGCCTCGTGGAGCGCAGTGCCGGGAAGCAGGATATGCTGAATATCCTTACGGCAAGTTCATCTAGCCTGTCTAATGGCTAGTTATTGTTTGAAGTGCTTGCATGAAAGCACAGCACCGTGTGAGAGCTAGAAAATTCAATGGTACAAGGGAGTTATTTAGCTTATGCCCTTGAGATTAATCACAGGCTCAGTAACTTAACTCCAGAGCGATCTCTTCCTGCTGTAATGTGACTTAGATAGCAACAGAGCAGCCAAGGACTGGGCAGTTTGCAAAAAATCATAATGTCAAATATCTTGATGCCGGACTATTTTGATGTGGAGTGGAATCGCCAGTTCCCGACGTGCAGCTTTGCAGCCAGCGGAGCAGCAGGACTCGCTCCCTGCTCGGTTAATCTCCTTATCGCCCTCGGGAGCCCGTCAGGGTTCAGTCACGACAAGGCAAGGGAGGGAGGAAGCAGGTACAGATCTCGGGGACGCTGCTGTGAGTTGTGAACGTTCCCGCTGATGTCTGTGGAATCATTTTCCGTGCTGTAAAAGAGAGTGAAATATCCTCCAGGTGTTCGGTGTCGAGGACTGTGATCTGATCTTTTAGCAGGTTCATTAGCTGGACGAAGGGGACTCTCACTCACGGCATTTCCTGGTGCTTTCGTGTGCAGGAAGCTTAGCGGAGACTTCAGACGAGCATTTCGGTGCAAAAGCATACAGAAAATGCAGTGGATTAGAAGAGGCTTCTGCATAGAAGTTACTAACCCTGTACTGGATCATATTCATAAGCGATTTTAGGGATCAACACATTCCTTGTTCAAGAATCTTTCCATCCTTGCTGATAAGTGTGCTGGATGAAGGGCATAATTAATTTAAATGAATGTCTTGTGCTTGTTTCTGAAGCTTATCCAACATGGATCTTGTTCACTGAGAAGGAAAATAAATGCTTTTTTCTTCTATTTATTGCTACTCTGGTGTGGGCCACCTACATACAAGGAGAGATTTTTTTCGATACACGTCCCCCCAAAATGTCACCCTAAATGATCAAGAGGAGAAAAAATAAAAAGGACATTCCACATACATAAAATATGTAATTAAAATGATGAATTATTGTAAGATAGAATATTAGCCTTTTGACATTTTAATCTGAGCAGGAGAGAGTGAGAGAGTGAATTCGGAGCCGCTCAATTAAATTTAGAATTTTTTACCCTCCATTGTTATGAATAAATAGAAAGATTCTGTAGCAGTCTGCAGAATTATTAATTGCAAGTACTGTAGAAGGTGCATGCACCGTATCATGAAATGGAGTATCATTGTTAGTGACTATATTTCTTGGTAATTAAGGCCCAGACTAATGATGCAAGTTTTCTTCAGCATGATTTTCATCTGATTATGAGGCTGCTTCATTAAGAGCACTCAGACTAACGAGCTGTAGCTGTAATAAAGTAATTTTCTGTCTTGTGCTCTGATTGATAAAGAGTTTCTATAGCTAAAAGGAATTGAAAATATAATTATAATTAGAAATGGTTGAATAAAGTTATTACAGGATTGCTGAAGGGTAGTGCAATTGACACCATAATGTTTTTTGGAAGTGTGCATCTTAAAATTAGACTTTATAAAAGGAAGGGGGAAAAAAAAGCAACCCGCAACCCCAAACCCTCTGTGCTAATAAATGGGCAGAATGTTGCTGCTTCCATAAAATGAACTGTTAGATTAAAGTAAAATGAGGTTTTCCCACATTGTTCAGAACAAGAAAAACATATGCAGGAAGAATGCTGTTGCCTTTCTTCCCAGCATTCCTCTTAAGTGAAGTAAAGCTTATGAAAGTGCTTTTTACTTCATTTATAAAAATTTTCATGCTGCCATATGTTACAAAAAAGATCTTTTTGATTAAGCTGATGTGTTTTGAAGCATACAGTATAATTTTGGAGTTTCCCTTTAAAAATGTGCAAAGAGTTATGTGAGTTATGTGAGTCTTTTCTATATATTTGCATACAGTAACTAGTGGTCTTTAAATGTGTTTTTTGAATGGAGAGGTTTTCCTTTCTTTCTCTCTTTTTTTAATCTCCTTGCATTGGCCAATATCAAAATATAACTGGGTCAAATACAAGGTCTCTCTTTTTTTCTCCAGGGGAAGCAAATCGACTTTTTATCCCAGAAACCTTATTCTTTTTTTATGATGTTCGTATTATAAACAGCACAAACTCTGTTAGAGCAATCCTTTGTGCGTATGTCATGGGATATATATGCTATGTTGATAGAAAATACTATAATAAGGCTTTTATTTAGAATTAGCTGATGCACTTTAGTACTCAGAAGTTGTTTGACTTATTTAATTTGGAGGCTTTCTGTATTGCTGTATCTCCCTCTTTGGAAGTCATGCATATATTTTAAAGCTACAGTTATGCACATTTGGTTATGTAAATCTGTCCCATGCAGACTCCGAGGAACTTTATTGTATTGGATTGAACCAAACAGTAGATCATCTAGATGTATATTTATGCTAATTAACTTAAATCCAGCATTTTGCATTGATTGCTCAGTCATAATGCTTTTTGGAAGATTTTTAGAATTTTTGAAAATCATTCTTAACACATTATATGGTGATAAAAGTGTGTTATTGGAATACCATTAGCAGGAATAAAAAAAGAGCAGAATTTTATTGGTTGTTCATTGAAAATGTTAGCTGTGATTAGTTACATAATCCTACATTAACCTGTAAATTAAAATTCCTTGGTGCAATTTGATGGCTGATTTAATTTTGTCTTTCTTTGTTTGCCGCAGGCTAATTCCATTATGAATTCTTTATACAGCCTTTTCCCTCAATGATTAGCAGCTTCTACTCAAGTTCTGATTACTATTGTACACTTAGCACTACATAAAGCTGGGGATTAATATTCCCCTGAAGAATTGTTGCTATGGATCTGCTCTATTCCTTCTAAGAGATGTTTCTGCAGCTTCAATTGTCCATAAATTATGATCTCTAGTGAATTATCAGTGGGAGTGAACTAAGCTTAACAAGCTGAAGAGAGCACTCTAGTTCTGAAAGAAAAAGGGAGAGAGAGATAAAAAGATTCTCAATTATTAATTGCAAGGTTTCCATAATACAGAAGTGGTGATATTTTCCCTATCTTCATTCCTGTGAGCATGTAAGAAATCAGGGTGAGTCAAAAACACCGAAGTCCTAACCCCCTCCAGCACTTAGAGATAAAACCTTCAGGAGGATCTTAATTATGTGGAGATGGAGGTGGAAAAACCAGCCCTATCACCCTGGGTTTTAAGTTTGTATTTTGGCTCTTCTCATCTCTGTCCTCCTGGTATAGTTTCCAGTCTGTCGATAGCCCGATTAGTAGCCTGGCTCAACTGCCTTTAAAATATAGTTGGGATTAATAGGGGATTTAATTGTAGATGTTTGAGGAGCTTTCATATTTGGAGAGGTTTTATTAAGAGACAGCTATTGCAGTTCAAGTTTGTGAGCACTTTGCTATGCTCCCATCTGTTCTCCTTTGTTAGGGCTTTAAAGTCATATTTCTCGTACTGATTCATGGCTGTTTTCCTTCTCCTCCCCTGAAAAATGTGTTCTGAAGGCTGGACTGCAGTGTTATTCTTTCTTGCTGGGTATGTTCGATTTTCCTAATTGAGAGGATCATGTCCTCCTGCTTTCCAGTCCCAGCCAAGCCCCCTCCTGCTCAAACTTCGGACTGCAGGGTGCTGGGGGTAAAAGGCTGCTGCAGACCTGACTTTGCATGTGCCTCCTTTTCAGAGAAGTCCTTGGATGGCACAAAGCCGGCCTTGCAACCACTGTGCCTGGTTTCTGCCAGGTGGGAGGAGGCAGTGACTTTGCATCACTGCCCAGCAGATGCAGAGCTACCCCACGTTCACTCAAGGTACTGGAATAGAATGTCTTTGGCTGTTCTGTGCCGAAGGGAATGGAAATCTGTAGTTCAGTTAGACTGAAGGAGTGGTTTAGGCTGTATTTTTTTAGGTGTTCTTCAGGCTAAAGCGCTGTTGGACTGCATCTGCTAGAGCTACTTCATGCACTGTGGTACATTAGCTGTAGTGGTAAATCATATTTAGTAACACACAGTTAGAAGGACTCTAGGAGTTAGTGTACTTTCCTGAGTGCTGTCAAGTAACTTGTGCTAGCCAAAAAGAGTTGTTTAGGCACTGAGATCTGACAGTACCTCAGTCCCATTCCAGGAGAAACAAATAACTTTTAACGTGTGACTAATAGAAGGTGTTTTTTCATCTCTCTTTTCAAAGCCCTGCTTGACAATATTCAGCAAAATCTGTATATGTTTTAAATTAAAAACAGCAGCTGAGTCCAACTGGTGTTTTGTGCTTGGAGCTAGTGACAGGAAAACAAAGGTGGATTCGTTAGGTGACAGGGTCTGAATTCTCTGGTCTGCTAGTCCACTTAGTGCTGCTTACTGAAACTGCTGGAGATTCCCATCAAACAATTCCCTGTGGAGCCACAGTGTTGCCTATTGTCTCAGCCCATAGCACAACCAACAGAAGATGATGTATATGGAACAGTCTTTGATTACCCCCAAATGCTAGATGTTGGGGCTAGGAAAACTGAGGAGATGTTAGGATAGTCCCTGCAGAAGGGCAAACTGGATATTCATGCTTTTTTAAAATTTTCGTTTCTTTCTCACCTGTGTGTTCTCTGCAGCGCTCAGAAACTCAGTGTAATGAACAATTTAACCTTATAGTGTCCATTCAGTCTGTCATGTTGAATAACCACTAACACATTATTCTTCAAGAAGCTGATCTTTTTTCTCCCAACGCACTCTCTTGTCTTCATAGTCTCCTGTTGGAATTTTACTTCTTTTGCTAGGATTTAAATCTACCTAGTGGTTTTGGGTGTTTTGGAGCTCTGTTGCGAAAAAGTGTCTTGCATCTTTGCCTCCTGTGTCCCCTTAATGATTTTAAAAGTTGCACTGGTACAATCTCCTTTAGATAGCAATTTTCAACCTTGAAGATTACTGTCTCCCTACTCCGAGTGTCCCCTCCTGTGCTCAGGAGTTACCTTTCCTTCTTTACTCCTCCCCAAATCTGTTGGATTCTTTTCCAGGTGGGGCAATCAGAACCACCTGCAGTACTCCAGACTTGGATGTGCTGTGACTTTGTCATAATTACATTTTCCTGTGTTTATTGGCACTGTATTCCCAGTCACCTATCACTGGTGGTTAGTTACTTCTGGTTTGTTACTTCTGTCAATTGATGCTAAGGTTGTCACAGTAAAGGTCTTAACTTATGCTCCAGGCACAACCATGTCACTGACATCAGTGCCAAACTAGATTGTGATGGCAACTACTTCTCTGTTTGTTTCTTTTCCTTTAATTTGGTGATGGTCATCATCATTCTGCTGATTTCTCTGTTTTCTAGCTGAGATCCTAGTTGTAGGATCAGCTCCAGCATTCACCTTGCACATCACTAGTCAAGTCATCATGGAAGTGAAACAGTAATTGTTCTTATTCCTTTTTTGGGGGGTTGTGTCTAGCTGTGACTGAAGCTGGTTTTGCTGTAGTTTGAATTCAGTAGGACTTTTACCCAGACTCAGACCAGTAGAATAGAGGAAGTCTTGGTCTGAGCTTGTTTTCAGTTCAAATTTGGCTTTCTGGAGGGATAAACCCCATAAGGTTTCTGCCCAGTCCCCTCTATCCACCTCTATTGAGCGCTCGATGTCTTTCCAATGTTATCACTGCCTCTCTCCCCTCCCCAAAGTGCTGCCTTCTCTCTCTCTCTCTCTCTGCTCTGTCGAATTCAAATGGACTAATTGGTGAAAGAGGGCAGCAGAGATCCTTTTTAATAGTGTGTCTGCCTCAGCTATGAAGAGGAGAGCTCCTAAGCAGAGAGGTGTTTGTGAGCAG